TATAGACAAACCTAGGATAACAATGAAAATAGCACCTCATTGTGCAAGAGATAAATTAGAAAGCTATTACAGCAGTCCTGGAGAGGGATCTTAAATGTATGAACTAAAGGAGGAATAGTGAGAATAAGAGAACAGAATGGAAATGTCAAGAGACAGAATTGATAGGACTTGTTTCCATTTGGACATGGGGAATAAAAATACATTCAGATTTCTGGCTTGGTCGACTGGGTAGATGGGATAACATTCATTAGTATAATATATTCATCAACACACAAGGAAGCTTAGTTTGCAGAGTGGAAGGAAGTTGAATATCTGGGTTTCAAATGCCTCCAGGTTGAAATAACTGTAGGGAAAATAGTGAATACAGATTGAATATATCTGAAGCTCCAAAGACAGACTTGGGGTGATTTAGTAGCATTTTGGTTGAGATTTAATGGCATGTATGACAGAGGAACCTATGAGAAAACCAAGATCTAGTGTGGTCAAGTTGCAACCCTGGAGAATAGCAATATTTAACTACTTGAAAGAGAAAGGGAAGTCAACAAAGGAAATAGCAAAGGAATGTTCTCAGAGTGGGAAGAAAGCAGGAGAAAGTGGTACCTGGAAACCAAGAAAAGAACAAATTTTAAGGAAAAAAACAGGATGATCAACAGAACCAAATACTTACTACAGAGAAAACAAGCAGGATAAGGACTGATCAGACCTATTAGAATTTGCAATTGGGATATGAATTTTGTTAAAGCAAATTCAATGACCTAGTGGGGATGATGGCTAATTGCATTTCACTCCAGACGGAATCGGTGCCATGATCAAATGAAGGGATAAGCACTGAAAGGGAGAGCCCTGCCTCCCTCTAAGAAGAGAAAATGAAGTACACATAGATACAGGTAGTGTATAGGCAGGCAATTCAAGACGAAGGAGTTCACAGATAGCCTCAATCATATCGGGAGACGGAAGGCAACTTATCTGCTGAGGCTGAGTGAGTAGTGTAGTAGGGGTGGGAGTTTAAGAGGAACGGGGAGATACCATTCCTGGAGATAATTGCTTGGGAAAACGGGAGAGGGAGTTAATCAGGGACACTCCAAATTTAGAATCAAGCAAGGGTTTCACTGAAGTGTAAAGCTATACATTTGTAAAGAGATAACCAATATAGAATTTTTTTTCAGATGTCAGTTATCTTGGTAAAGGAAGGGAGAAGCAGTGGCCATACTGATCCAAGATTGATGGTTTGAAAAGTGGATGGATATGAATTTCAAGGGATGAAGATAGCCAATCTAGCAAACCTGGAGTCTCTTTATATCTAATATGTTCAAACTGAATTTAGCATCTGTCTGCCAGCATAGGTCTTCTAAATGCTATCTTAGTGAATAGTTCTATAGCCTCTCAGATACAAAGTCATCCTCTATCCCCAATCTCTCTCATACCTTCACATTCAATCCTATCTATTCTGTTTCCTTAATACCACATCTACATTTTGACTCCACTGTACCTCTGCACAGGTAGCTCCTCAAAGAACCATCCTGCACTCTTTTTCACGTCATTTCTACCCATCTTTAATAACTTACTTCATACACCACCCTCCAACCGGAAGCCTTCTCTCAAGTTCCCTTCCCCTCCCTGATCTGGGTTAGGGGCTCTTGAAAGCAGAAAATGCAAGGTGTACCTCTTTCAAAGGACTTAAAACTTTATTATAGTTGACTATTCTCTTCCCTATAGCCACAAGAATAAGTTCCCTGAAGGCAAGGTTACATCTTTTATTTCAAGCACCCAGTACCTAGCATAGGACTATTTACTCAATCCATGCATAATTATAAAAGAAAGCACTAAACAGCAAAATAAAAGTAAGAGTCCACTATTGTTTAAAATGTCAGGAGATGAGCCACAAAGGAGTATGTCAGTGATACAATGATAATTATCATGGATTAAACTGCCATCTTTATCAGTCTTAGGTCTATTATAATAATATAGTCCAAGTACCCCTCCGAATGCTAGGACTACCATTCCTGTCCTGCAGTGGCCACAAGCTGCCCAACTAACTGAAAGAACAGCCTCACCTCCAGCTACAATCGCCCCAGGCAGAAAGAGTGGTATGAAAAAATGCTCTTTGGTCTCTGGAGCCACTGGAGGAAGCTTTCCTGCACACGTTTTGTGATGTTTCATAGTAATGACTTAGTAACCCCTGTAACTTAAACATAGTTTTAGGTTATTTTATACTTGTGTTTAAAGAAATAAAATTCCTGGGGTGGCACAGGGTTAAGCATCTGACTCTTGGTTTCAGCTCATGATCTCAGGGTCATGGGATCAAGCTCCACTTCAGGCTCCGTGCACAGTGCAAAGTCTGCTTAGGATTCTCTCTTCCCCTCCCACTGCCCCTCCCCCTGTGCTTGCTCACTCTCACTCTCTCAAATAAATAAATAAATCTATTAAGAAAATTAAAAAAAAAAAGAAGATTCCTTAGAATCTTATCTCAACAGATGACTCATCATTTTGTTATGAAGAAGAACATTCAAAAGGAAAACAAATGTAGATACAAGCCATGAGTGTTCATGTGATAACAGTATCTTTACTCAAATAAGTAACAGATGCCCTGAGTCCTCCCATGTTTAGCATGTGATTCCAATTCCATAAATGTTCCTTTAAGAATGATTTTAAGCAGACTTATTCCATGTGCCTTTCTATGCAAGTTGTTCCTTAAGTAATTGATATAAATTCTTCTTAACATTAATACACTGTCTTGTGATATTTTAACCAATTATAGACTATCGAGACATTCAACGCTTCTTTATTAGTAGTAAAATATCGCCACTGTTCTAAAACAATGACCCAAGCAAAATCACGTAAGCAAAATCCTTAACCTCTCTAACAGTTCCTCATCTGTGAAATGAGGATCATAATTCCTGCATTCCAGGATTGCTGGAAGGATTATAGCTAATATATCTCTGTATATAAAGTAACCATCACTGTGCTATGAAACAATCTACTAATCACAGGAAGTTCCTGCTTTTTATTTTCCATAGAATTCTTATTTATTTACTTATTTTAATTTTTTTTAAGATTTTATTTTTTCTAGAGAGGGAGAGAACGCACGCACGCTAGGCTAGCATGTGCATGCACACAGAGGATGGGGCAGAGGGAGAGGCAGAGAATCCCAAGCTGACTCATGCTGAGCGCGGAGCCCCACACGGTATTCAATCTCATAACCCATGAGATCATGACCTGAGCTGAAACTAAGGGATGCTTAATGGACTGAGCCACACAGACGCCCCTTCCATAGAATTTTTAATCCAATTTAATGTTCTTAGTGAAGATATTTGCCATTTAATTTTTTTCATTTTTGTGAAAATATAGATAACACACAGAAGTATTTATCATTCACACACATATTCACATACTTGTGTGGGGGAGTGTCTCTCAAGTATATATTTTTCTGTATATTATTTGGGGTTATCCACTTTGCTTCTCCATATAGACTTCTACTGAATTCAACAAAGAAATCAGTTGATTAATTTCACAAATAAATTTTTAAAAAAGGAAATGTCTGTTCCTCTGAAGCCAGAAATATCCTGTGAAGAAGTTATTCTTACAGGGCTAGATTCAGTTGGAATTAGATCTAGCAGAAATAAATGGAGAGATTTTGTTACATATACACTCTATTCAGGTACTTTTCAATTCTTTTCTCCTAGAAATCGTTCTTAGGATTTCCTCAAAATAGATAAGGTGTTTATCGTACTAGGGATCACACCAATTAAACTATGAACTCATATTTTCAGTTTCAAAAGTTGAACTGTCAAAACACTGCAGTTTAATTTCCTTAGCTTAAGTTACAATTCACACATATAAGTGGAGAACAATAATCTCTCAATTAAAATTTTATCAAAATAAATACTGTGCAGGAAGAGTTAATATATAGCAGGCCTGAGATAGCTATACGTAGAAAGGTCTGCTTTCAGGATTGACCCCTGGTTGGCATCTGTGAACCTAAATTTCTAAAATGTTCCCACAATTCCCTACCTGATAAGAGTGGCTCACTGTGCCCAAACTGTTTGTGCAAACAATATGATTTATGCTGAATACCTGCTTTCCTTCTGAGAGTTTAGAAATTCGGTATGTGCTATGCAATAGGTGCCTATGTGACCAGCTCCAATAATAACCTTGGACACAATCTCTAATGAGCTTCTCCAGTAGATAATATTCACCTGGGTTGTAACAATTCCCTGCTGGAGGAATTAAGCCCTTCCTGTGTGACTCTATAGGAGAGGACTCTTGGAAACTTGCACCTGATGTCCTCCAGACTTTGTCCCATGCGCCTTTTTCTTTTGCTGATTTTGCTTTGTATAATAAATCATAGCTATGAGTACAAATATATACTAATTCCTATTAATCCTCTTAGAAAATCACAGAATCCTGGGGTGATCTGGGGAGCTGCCATAAAATATCTTTAACCAAAATATCTTCTATTTTTTTCTCATTTTTATATTGCCTTTTGTTAATTTCCTTAGGTACACTATTTAAGAAAAGAGAAAAGTATATTGAATAGTTAATGTAGGTAAATAATTATATAAACTTTGCTATCAGAGAATAATCTCACTAGACGGGGCATGAAAAAAGCTAACATCTATCTAATTATAAACCTCCAAACGTGGTTTTTCTCCTAGATTACAGCCCATTTTTTAAATATAAATTTTAGATTATTTGCAATAGATTATAGCCTTTTAGGACATTTGTAAATCCTCACCAGGCTACTGGTAATAGTAATTTCTTCTTAGAAATTGATTTCCCTTTGGAGAGTGATAATCAAGCTCAATCATCTTCATTTCAAAATGGAATATAGTAATCAGTTTAAAGATACCTTTTTTTTAAGTTTTAGAAAGCATAAACACATTAAACATGTATTCATCCCACAGTATGTCTTCAAATCAAAATCTCCCAAAGTGAGAATTCTGCTCTCTAAATTGTTCTCAAGCACCTCCAGTAGCATTTCCAATGGTAGAGAAACTTACATTTTTTTGCAGTGTGGGCATTTTGCCAGAGTGTTGAACCTCAGTTCCATCCACTGTAAATAAAAAGAAAAGATTAAAAAGAAAAACAAATGAAAACTATCCAATCTGATAAGATGTTTCTTTTAGTTCAAATGTTACCAGGGATCACAGCAGAAGCAACCCCCTTCTCACGGTTATAGGAGCTTTCCCCCCTCAACACTTCTTCCCCTCCCTTAAAATAAAGTTTGGGATTCTCCTCTGCAGCAGTTCCCATGACTTGTCCAAGGTTCTGACGCAATCTAGGTTGGCTTTATAATGAAATCTGAACGTAATGCTGTAATTAGGGTCATTTCTTTCAGTTTTAGATCTCAGTTCATTCCCAAGGAATAAAAACATATTTCATGGACCTTCAAAGATGTTTTGCCTTTAAATCTTGAGGACTAAGGGTGCCTGGGTAGTTCAGTCAGTTAAGCATCTGCCTTCGGCTCAGGTTATGATCCTAGGGACCTGGGATGGAGCCCTGAGTTGGGCTCCCTGCTCAGCGGTGTGTCTGCTTCTCCCACTTCCTCTGCCCCTATCCTCCACCCCTGCTTATGCTCTCTCGAGCGCTCTCGCTCTCTGTCACAAATAAATAAAATCTTTTTTAAAAAAATCTTGAGGACTAGCCTTTTAAATATACATATATTCAAATTCATTACTAAAATGCAACTATTTATAATCTAATTATGTGGGAAACCCACAAAGTAAATAAACTAAACAAATGAGATATAGAGAGAACTCAAGTCAGGCAGCTCTCTGTCCTGTCCTTGCTTATTCTATGTAACAAAAAGATACTCTTTCTATGGTGCAAATTTTCTTCCCTTGTGAATGTAGGTAATAGAATGAGCTATCTTCCTTGTTATTGAGATACTTGTAATGGTTTACTGGGTTGTAGATTAAAGTCTTTGAGGGAATGTGCAATATAAATTTAAAATAAATCTTAACCACGAAATGTATATTTAAAAGTGCCTTTTTCATCTTCCATTTTGCTTGCTTTTCTATATTCCTTCTTGCAAAGGGTCTGTTTCCTCTATGGTTTTAGGAGAATTCCTTTTAAGTACTTCAGTTTTATCAACAAAACAACTTTTCTTTTATTAAAATTAATTTTTGTTTAGGATTCCAAATCATTCATGTCTCTTTCCATAACTTTCCAATTCTAGGTATAGTAGGGCTTCAATAAATTATACATATCCAAATGTTTTCCACACAATAGAAGATAACTTTCAGAAAGTATTCGATGCGTAACAGTTTTTTTCTTTTTTAATTTTTAAAAACTATTAAAAAAAAACAAATAAATCTGGGTTTTCCTAGATTTCTCTTTCTTCATTTTTATTTGACACCTCAAAGAAAGTTAGTTAAGCTGGAAATGATCTCTCAGTCACAGTAGGCACAAAGAGTCTCAAGATAAATGGAACTTCACATGAATGTTCACTCTCTTTTCAAAAAAATTATTATTTTTCAACATCTGAGAATGCCAAACCAAGGCTACATTTTTTGTTCAAGCACCAGTAAATCTTTCTTTCATACTTACTTTGTAACAAGTTAATGTATTGTAAAACTTATTCTTAATAGTAAAAATGTCAGAATTAATGTGCTAAACAAAGATTTCTAGAGTTCTACAGAATATTAAGTGAAGAATCCAGAAATCTTACTACCTTTTTTTTTTTTAGAGAGAGAGAACATGGGGGAGGGAAAGAGGGAGAGAGAATCTTAAGCAGGCTCCATGTCCAGCAGCACAACCCTGAGATCATGACCTGAGCCGAAATCAAGAGTCAGATGTTTAACTGCCTGAGCCATCCAGGAGCCCCTTTGTTATGTTACTGTATTTAGTTTTAGGACAGTTGCTGAACATGTAAAGTCATTTCAAATTTTATTTATAAATAACAAATTTAAGTTCTTCATAGTTAAAAGAACCTAAGTAGTTAAGGAGACAGTTATGAAACCCTTGAGCAAAGAGGAACTCAAAATCCAAGCTTGAAGGCTATATTATGTTAGCATAGGAATTCCAGAATTTTTAATGACCAACCTAAGGAGATGATTTAGTCCAATATTATCATTTAATAGTGCTCTTCATTTCAGCATAGATTATGCATGGTAAATTCAATTATAACTGAAAAACAGCTAAAGCTTTATTATGTAATTAGTAAATCATACAGCCAGCAACCTAACACATCAGGTTTTGTTATCTCCAAGTACTCACTTAAATGCAGCAAACTGAGAAAAGCATCTATTATTAGAAATAATTTTGTCATACTCTATTCAAGTGAATGCAAATATCTTTGCTTGCGAAAGGAAGTTGACTTACTACTGTTCTTTAATCTAAAATGCAGCCTCTGCACTCTTAGAATTTTATTGCCAGAACTTCAATAGGAGAAAAAAACCAAAATTACCTATTTTCTTTATTTTTTAAAGATTTTAGTTATTTTTTTTGACAGAGACATAGCGAAAGAGGGAACACAAGCAGGGGGAGTGGGAGAGGGAGAAGCAGGCTTCCCACTGAGCAGGGAGCCCGATGCGGGGCTCAATCCCAGGACCCTGGGATCATGACCTGCGCCGAAGGCAGACGCTTAACAATTGAGCCACCCAGGCTCCCCAAAATTACCTGTTCTCTATCGGAAAGATTAAAGGCAACTTCTCTAAAATTCAATCATTTTTAGTGGAGGTCATCTAATATTTGACTTACTTCTAACCATTCTATGTAACAGATAAACTTAGTTTCCCCAAGATGTATTTTTTTAATCAATCTTAGAAGGCCATAAGAAAGTTATACTGCTAAAAATGAATCATTCAATAGTACCTTACTGGATTTTATTTTTTAATGGACACAATAGGTGACTGGTGTCATTACTTTGAATTATTCACTTTAAAACTATTGTTACTCTCTGCAATGACACCAAACTATATGTCCTGTGTCCAAATAAGGAAAATCTGACCCTGACTGAAGGAAATACACAGGCTCACTTCAGAGCAAAGTTTGAACCATCGTCTATGATTCTGGTACATATTGTAGATTGTTTTTATTAGGGCATGCCAACCCCACAGTCAGGTATTGGTTGACAAAGCATCTGGACCTGCCTTTCATCAGCAAGAGAGAACACCTGCCCCATAGAAATGCAAAATTAAACTCCACTGTTCAGTGTCTTAAAAAACTTCTTTATTTTTCATGCAGGGCTAGCTAAAGACTATGTATTCCCTTTATTCTTCTGGAAAATTATTTTCTAAGCAATATCCCTCAAAAATTATTCTGACTAGATGATGTCATCAAAATGGCTTAGAGGTTAAAAAATATTTGTAGGGGTGCCTCAGTGGCTCAGTCAGTTGAGTGTCCGACTCTTGGTTTTGGCTCAGGTCCTGGTCACATGGTCCTAAGATCAAGCCCCACTGCATCAGGCTCTGTGCTCAGTAGGGAGCCTGCTTGGAGATTCTCTCCCTCTGCCCCTCCCCCACTCCTAAAATAAATAAATAAATCTTTTTAAAAAAAATGTTTGTAAATACTATATTAAAACTCTTCCTGGGTGCCTGGGTGGCTCAGTTGGTTAAGCGACTGCTTCCGGCTCAGGTCATGATTCTGGAGTCCCTGGATCGAGTCCCATATCGGGCTCCCTGCTCAGCAGGGAGTCTGCTTCTCCCTCTGACCCTCCCCCCTCTCATGTGCTCTCTCTCATTCTCTCTCTCTCAAATAAATAAATAAAATCTTAAAAAAAAAAAAAACTCTTCCTGGATAGTAACAATGATGCATGCTAAAAGTGCTAAAGAATACACCTGTAAAAAAATTGTGTTTAGTTTTTTGTTTATCCTAGCAATTCCCAATGACCATGGAACTCTTTATTCACATAACACCTATTATTATCCTATAAAATGAGTGTTCTATTGAATATACTTTGGAAAACACAAATCTAACTTTTCTAAACATCACCCATGGTTCCAGCCAGGCTGTGAAATGAAGAATATGAATAGAGTGGATTCATAGTAAACTTAACTTTAGCATTATAACATTGATATATTAGAAGATGGTATAAACAGAAGGTTGTTGAGGACACAGTCCATTATATTGTTCTTTTATTTTAATCCATGGAAATAATTTTTTCAGGTCACAGTATTCCAATAAACCCTCTCCTATGTGATTTTTTTAAAAAAATCATGAATATCTTTTAATAGATCATGTTTTCCTCTATTCAAAGACTCTAGAAGTTTCACAGCTAAAATCCAGACTAATTTTAACTGCAGAATTAAATATTATGCATATTTATATTCTTATGTATGACTTATCATGTTTTTCTGCCCTTTTTTTCATTGTTCCTGATTTTTTCATATTTCCTTTTCAATGTCATTGAACTTCGTAACTTGTCTCAATTGTTTCTATGCCTTGTAAGGCAAGGCTGAAACAAGGTAGAGAAAAAGTAAATGAATCCTAATAGTTAAAAGCCTGAAGGACAAAGAACATACTACAAAGGATATAAGACTATTTGTGATCGGCATAATAATAAGGATAAGGCAAAGTTCTTGAGTCAGAATTAAGAGATCCGTGGTCTATTTATTCTTTATGACACTGAATATCTCTCATTAATCTGAAACTCTCAAAAGTAATAGCCACCCATAGGTATGTACTGTGCTCCCCTAATCACCAAAATCTTTGTTTTCTAAAAATTTTTAAATCATCTTTAAATACCACACATTAATCCAAAACAGGCTTTTCACTAAAGAATTAAAGTTTTTAATCATATTTACTGTGCTAATATGCTAATATGATTCACTTGCCTATACTAAATATTAAGTAAATAAGAGTTAGTTTTAGAAGTTAGTCTCTGGAATGCACATTACTTTAGTAATTTTCTCCTAGGGTGAAAAGATCTAAATGCATAAATTTAAAGTAATAGAAACCATGTCACACATATCTTTTAATCTCTCAATTTGGATCATTCTCTAGAATTGACTGCCAGATGATTTCAAAAAATTAAATATGAACTCTTTAATGTCTTTGATTTTCTTTTTTTCCTCATTCCCTTATCTACCCTGTTGTCAGTATGTCAATTCT